CACCATAGCGTATCAAAAAATCTTTTCCATGTCCAAGCAATCAGTGCATTTTCTCTTCGAGGTTTACCCAATGGCACATCCTTTAAAGACTCAATCATCCCAGTAATTAAAGCTAGACTATACCTTAATGTACCCAAAAACGAATTGGCTGATTAGGAATCTGGTAGATTGTCGCTGTGATACCGTTTGTATGCAGAGCAAGATTCGTTATTGTGTTCGTAGTAGGTATTCTAAAATTGATTAGAGTGAAATTTACAGAAAATGCCTATGCTTTCATCCGATAGGCATATAGAAAACATTATTTAAACCGTTATATGAATTTTCTTGCAGAATTTTTCGGTGCGGAAAGACCTCATATATTTCAATATTGAAAGTAATTGATTTTATTTTATGATTTCTTAATAGAATATATTGATAGATGAATATCCGGGATTTCGTTTCTCATATAAATAAATATCCTACAAGATAGACTTATGGATCGACATTATTTCCATGATTGATTAATAAAAATACCGTTTTATTACGACGAGCAATTCTTGGAACTGTAATAGTCACATAGTGTCACCAAATTGGTTGAAAATGACTCTATATCAGGATGATTGATATAAGCGTCTATAAGAATATAATTTTACCATCAAACCATTGTTGTGATGCTATTAGATCATTTTTTTGCGTTATAATATACATTTTTTGAGGCACGCTGTATTTTTAAGAAATAACACGAGCCATTATTCTATGAGTGCCTCTGGGTGTTGTTTCTTCTGAACTAAATTGAAATGCGAGCCATTGCATTGGTTCATGGTAATTTCTTCGCTTTCAAACCTGCTCATAACCCGTAATTTTTTCACTTGTTGTGAACAATCATTAAGTAATTCCTTACTTGATCTTCTTCATAAAATTGATTATTGCTATCAGGAAAGAATGATGGTGCGTAAAAAAGAATGTTTTGTTTTCTAATTCATTCGGAGACAGTGTCGAAACCAGTAGAAAGCTGCATCGATCTTCTTCATTCGACATATTTCTTCAATTTGAATAGTTTCGATATCAACGAATACCATTATCATTATCGTCAATAACCGTACATACACAATTTAAATGGCATATAATTCAAGTAATATCAGTATTTGGTACATTGACTATGTCACGGAGTATTTTGAAATCATATTCAATATTTTCAACTAAATTGATTTCTCTTAAATGAAGGCAATCAATATTGTGAAAGAAATTTTCTCTTTTCAAAGTCTTTCACATGATTCTATATGTATGGTCTTTGTTTTTCACTGCCGTCGATAAGCAGAGACTCAAAAGAACGAAAATATTGAGAAGCTAACCTATTGTTATTGCACCTAACGGATCTTCTAAGAATAGCTTTAATAGTGAGATTAACATCTTGATATGGAAAAAATCGAACAACTGATTGAATTTATCTTTTATTAAGAGCACTTTTCAAGATAAATAAAAACAAGTTATTTTCACGAGATTTTTTTCTTCCTACATTTAATCTTTTTCTCTAATTTCAAAGATAAATTTGTTTGGTAAACATGTCAACATATGTGGCACATACATAAATACACGAGTCCTTTGGCAAATACTTTTTGTATTATCTTCTTGAAGTATAATAAAAATAAGAACAGAAATAAAATATGCGAGAAACAACATTAGCAACTTTTCGTTTGACATCGATGGATCTCGATAATAGCACCCAAGAGTTTAATTGAACGAGTTTACGTTTTCACGTCCACTTAGAATATTCAATTGGAATAGATTTCGATAAAAAAAAAGCTTTTTGGATACAGTCTCAGTTTTATAAGGAATAACATTTTCTATCGAATGGTACAATATGGTTAGATCTTTGGTGAATAATTACTGGAGATCTATACTTCATACTGAAATGTGCATCTTCCATGATGTCGTTTGTTTGTTGCGGATACAATCTCTACAACTTTTCTCGTGTCGATATAAAACTCTGATTTTTTTATTGTGATATCTTTGATATACAGTGTCTTATCTTGGATGAAAAGATTAGAAATAGAATTTTCAAGTTATGCTGCGTTCCACGGTATTATGCTGTTTGGTATCAAAATGACTCAAAAACTCTACTGGCTTAATAGGCATTGAAAAGAAATGTCATGATTCATGGTAGGACTTATAAGTGAAAAGTGTACTTCCAGTTCGAAACCTTTTTGGCAACATTTGCCTATAGGTATATTTGCCAGTGATCAAACATTATATGCTCAGTAAAAGAAAACACCTCGAAATATGCCTTTGTGCACTCTCCGTCTCTTTGAAAAGATGATACTCATTGCAATGACATTTAACACGATCATTATTTAATTCAATGTGACATATGCAATCGATTGATTTATACGGCCTGCAGAGGTTCAACCCTTTGCTTTCACTATATTGATAAATTAGCTGATATTGCTGTCAATTTAGAATAACTGATTCTATCTGTTTACATACTGATTATACACTGCAAATGAATCAATTATTTTCTGTTTGCTAGAAAATTGTATATGCGATTGATAAATGGGATGTGATCGACTGGTAAAAACAACTATGTCTATAGTATGAAACAAAAACATTAGCGTATGTGTTTCGAATTGTGACGAGGCAAAATATAATTTTCTCATATTTTGTATATAATGGCTTTCAAATGTGAGTGCTAAAACATATCATACGAGATACTAACGTTTAGAGACAACAGAAAAATTAAACACTGTTTAACCCTTTACGGCCGGATGTTGCCAAATGGCAACATTTTGCCAATATCATCTTAGGATTTATCTTAAAGTGATGAGATATAGTTCCTTAAGCGATTTGATAATTAATTACATGCATTTTAGGGCAAACCTATGCCTTTTCAAGAAAGGAGAACGCTATTATTGACGAGAGGGATGAATTCTTCCGTCAACACCCGAAACAGCCCCCGAGTCGAAATGATCTGTTTTCCATTTATGCGAGTACTCGATGCGAGAAGTAACTAGTGGTTAATTTTCCTCTCCAGTTCCATTATCTTTTATATCAATAAGATGAATCATTCAGTTTACTCGAAGAATAGAGTACAAGAATGTTGCCTTTTGGCAACATCCGGCCGCAAGGGTATAAAAAGTTGGGAATATTGAATTATTTTTCCTCGATGGAAGTCCAATAATTTGCTGTTAGTTTTAGTCCAGATTATCAAACAAAAGCATACTTTGTTTATCTGCCCACCTCTTACAGCCTCAATGTGCAATATATTCCCATAATACTCAAAAACTTTCCGAGATAGTGCACATTTCACCTATTTTCCCCAGAGAAGCTCACAAATTCAGCGAGATTCTAACAAGATTTACAGTACATCATAGTATTCCTATTCAGACTACTATAAAACATTACTAGTCTTGTTAAAATCTTACTAAATTCATGGGCTTCCCTAGGGAAAATAGGTGAAATTTGCACTATTTCAGAAAGTTTTTGAGTATTTTGGCAATATATTACACATTGAGGCTGTAAGAGGTAGGCAGATAAACAAAGTATGCTTTTGTTTGACAATCTGGACTAAAACCAACAGCAAATTATTGGACTTCTATCGAGGAAAAATAATTCAATATTCCCAAGTTTTTGTACCCTTGCGACCGGTTGTTGCCAAAAGGCAACATGTTGGCATTCTGCTCAGTATCAGTTCTTTTAACTCTAAGATGGATTTCGGTAACCTCCACATCTAAGAGACAAAGAATATATAGAAGGAGAATTTTTTGCTTGCTATCTTCTGGTAGCCGGCCGTAAAGGGTTAAGGATGAAATTATTTAAAAAAAATGTTTGTTGACAAGTACTCAAATCAGCGAACATGCGCTAAACGTAAAGTGAATGCAAATATCCATACTTTTAACAAAGCAGTGCAAAATTTTGATAACAGTGTTATTATATTTGATGATTCGATTCATCATCATAAATTGGAAGATGCCCAAGTATGTAGTATATGATTTCGTTGTTCACCATAGTTTTTAAAATAACAGTTTTTAACATTAGTACTTACATATATGTTGCTATTACTTTCTTTTTGATAACGAGTCACATCTGATGTGTCAGAGAAAATTGCCGATCTTCAAAGCATTTGGAGTAGTCCACATAAGAACGTTTCAACTCGTCACGTGACGAGTTGAACAAACAGCAAAAATCAGGCCTTTCGTAACAGCAAAAATAGGAATATCCAAAAATACAGGGATATCGTAACGAAATTACAGGGCGATCGTAACGATTAATACAGGGAGTTCGTAACAGTTGCAGAGCTTTCGCCACGAAGCAACAGGGCTTTCGTAATGAGGATGAGGGTGATAGCTGGACTTAGTTTGCAGAAGTTACATGCGTTTCGTTACGAAAGCTCTGTAATGGTACATATTAAAACACCAATTACGATCACCCTGTAAAATTTGTTACGAAAGCCCTGATTCCGTCGTTACGAAAGCTCTGTCACGAGCTTTCGTACTGTCAATTCGTTACGAAAACCAGACAAGAAAAAATGTGACGAGTTGAAACATTCCCGTCCACATTCATACTTTCAGGACAGTTTCTTAGAGTACATTCATTTAAACATCGATCTTCAAATTTATGATCTTCTTTTCAGTCGACTTTAAATTCTAATCGCAGAAATCGAATTTCTATTTATCGACAAGATTTCATCATGCATCATTAGCATTCAGGATCGAAACTAATGATCATGAGGACAGATAGTGAGGTACGAGTGTCAGATTTTTTCAATAAATAATTTTTAAGTATCGATGCCCATCAGCAAAGCAAAGAATTGTCAGGTCATGCATAAAGACGAAACAATTAATGATAAAATATACTTTGGTGTATAGAATGATCAAATGGCAATTATCATTAATGATGAAGAGGTGAATAATCAACAGCAAATAATGAGCAAACATATGAGAAAGAATGATTCGCAATTACGATTACAAGGGCTTCTTCAGAACTTGGATAAAGAAGAAACAATTTATCAGAAGAAGCTAACAAAAATGAACGAAAATCTTGATGATACTACAGCAGATCCGATGACAAAAAATTATCGATTCGTAGATACTGCCATTGCTGAAAAACATCCACAAGTAACACATAATACCATCAATTATATAGAAGTTGACCTAGGACCTATTGAGAGATACGCTAAAGAACCTTTATTACCATTAGTTGATGCATGTGCTTCACTGATCGGCATCGTTGATGATTTATTGACCTACATTCAACTAGCCTTGAATAAAACATTGGCTGAACCTGCAGATGAACTCACTGTCGATGAAAGTGCATCGATTCGTCTCTACACGATCGAATGGAAAGGATCTCATCAAAGTCTCTATTCCAAACTCAATCGTACTCTCAAAGCTGCTGATCGTGAGGAACTTCAGCCCTACTTCAAGTATCTCAAACTATTTCTAACTGTTCTAGCCAAACTACCATGCTTTCCACCAATAACTATCTGGCGAGGAGTCACCAAAGATTTAGCTCTCATTTTCCCATCTGGAAAACTAGTGACCTGGTGAGCAGTTTCATCTTGTACAACTACAATGACCGTGCTCGAGAACATTATGTGTTTGGGCATAACGGGCTCGCGAACACTCTTCTCCATCGAAGCTATCAATGGTCGAGCAATAGGAGCCCATTCACATTTCATTACTGAAGATGAAATTCTTCTTCTGTCTGACATACACATGGAAATTCAATCACAAATGAGTCCAGCAACTGATCTTCACATCATTGATTTAAGACAGGTCATTCCGAAGGAAACGCTTCTGCAACCTCCTTTTGACGGTACTTAGAAAATTTTCAATAACTTATTTTGAATTCAATTATTTCTATGTACAGGTGCACGTCTTTACCTTAAAATTACATATGTATCACTTTCTTTCTCATTGAATTATGTTTCTGAAGGAAATTTTATCTCAATTTGAAGACGGCAATGGTATCGTAAGAAACAATTTATTCTTTCCCTATGCCTGTTAATGACTATTGTCTTCGGAGCAATTATTCTGGGTACTGTTTTAGGATCAAGGTCAACCAATAAAGCACCAGGTAAAATTTTCCAAAGTCTTTCGAGTTCGAAAACAGGAAATGGTTCATTTTCGACGACTCAACTATCCTGTTTCGTATATATCAGAAGATGGTCATACTTGACTTCAATAGAAAGTATTCAAACGTTTGACAATCTCTAAATATAAATTATGATGCTTTCTAAAAATATATTGAGGCATTCAATTTCATGAGGAAAGTATGCTAGATTATACGAATAGATTTGGTGCAGAGATGTCCATCGCGGCGCTGCCGCGATGGCCTGTAGCGGCAGCGGCAGCGGCAGGTTTTTTAAAAAATCACCGCGGCAGCGGCGCGGTAGCGGTAGATTTTTTAAAAATCATCGCGGCAGCGGCGCGGTAGCGACAGGTTTTTTAAAAGACCATCGCGGCAGCGGCGCGGCAGCGGCAGGATTTTTTTGGGAAACATTGAAAAACTGCATGAATTTAATAGAATTTCAGGGTTTACAAATGAAACACCCCGAGACTGAATGAATCTCATGGACTAGTACCAATATCTCTGGTCAAATATAGTCGCAGCAGTGAAATTAGAAATACTTTTTTGTAAACCGCCGCGGCAGCGGCGCGGCGGCGGCACGTTTATTTTATAATTCATCGCGGCAGCGGCGCGGCAACGTTTTTTTTATAAGCCATCGCGGCGCGGCAGCGCCGCGGCAACATTTTTTTATAAACGGTCGCGGCGCGGCTGCGGTGCGGCAACTTTTTTTTTCTAAGGCCGCGGCGCGGCAGCGGCAGATTTTCAGCCGCGGTGGACATCTCTGATTTGGTGAGCTTCAAGAATTCCAAATTTTTTCACTTCATACTACTGAGTTCGTATCTATAAACAATCATGCTGTTGTATAGGAAAATTTTATTGAGATCAAGGTTGATATGAGGCATTTTTGACGATGATGTCATGAAATGGTGAAGTGGATGAGAATGAAGAGAAGACTTTTCATTCTTCCACTCTGAATGGAACACAAGAACAAAGAACAAGTTTGTTTCTAGCCTATGTATTTTTAATTACACTCTATTTCAGAATATGTCTGTACGAATCCTTACACATCTTCGATTAACTATGAGATTGACGACACTTCAATGTCTGCGACATTTGACGATTTCAACAATGATAAAAGGTTGGATGTAGCCGTGACCAATGCTAATGAGAATACAATCAGTATTTTATTTGGTAGTGGAAATTGAAGCTTTCAAACTCGAATCAGATATGGAACTGGTTCGACACCAAATTCAATTCTATCGAATTATTTCAACAATGATAAAAATCTGGATTTAATAGTGTTGAATACCAACGGCAATGATATTAATCTGATATTAGACAGAACAAATGGAATTTTTCAGGCTAGAATAACGTATTCGATTGGAAGAGATCCTTCAATTGTAATATCAGATGATTTTAATAATGATAGGCAATTAGATTTGGAAGTCATCAACTCGCAAGATAACAACATTGATGTGTTGATAGGCAATGGAAATGGATTCTTTCAGTCTCAAGTGACATATCGAATTGGTAACTCGTCCATATCTATCACATCGGGTAACTTTAACCATGATACAAATTTGGATTTAGTTGTAGCGAGTAATCTTGATAATACCCAGGGAAAAATTTTTCAAGAAAAAACCGCGGTTTCATAAACCGCGAAAGTCAGACCTTTTATGCGGTTTTTGAAACCGGCGAAAACTGCGGTTTGCAAATACCGCGGTGAGAACCGAGAAAATCGCGGCCCGAGCTGAGTTTTTGCAGGTCTAATCGCGGTTTTCTCGGTTCTCATCGCGGTATTTGCAAATCGCAGCTTTCGCCGGTTTCCAAAAACCGCATAAAAGGTCTGACTTTCGCGGTTTTTCAAAATGTGGAACAAAACTGCGGTTAACCTCAGATTACCGCGGTTTTTTTCGGAAGAATTTTTCCGTGGGTATTATATAGCTTATGCATGTTATATGATTATTAAACACTCATTGAAAAGTAAACTTCTCATTCTCCTCATCATCCGACTGGAAAGTGATCAACTTGTACATACAATAGTATTTCAATCTAGTTTTTATTTGTCTTCGAAAGAGGACGACCAATAAGTTCATATTAATGTAGATTATAATTCTTTGTATTGTTATCTTTCATTTCCTACTACAGTATCAATCTCTTCCTCGTCATTTTTCCTATCGTACATCTTATTATCGGTTCCATGCTGGAATAAAAATATCTAACATGAAATCAGACTCTTGTCGATATCACATTGAGTATAATATTCGAAAAAAAAATGAATTGGAACGTCGTATCTGTTGGCGTAATATGGAATCACGAGAAATTCTTTATTCGTATCAACAATCGCATCCACACCCACAGCAAAAAAGACACTTCAATGCAAAAAAAAGTTGTGTTCGATGAGTAGTAACCATTATTCGTTATAATCCAGCGGAAGAGCGCTTGCAACAACAGTAAGAACAATAATAGCTGGAATAAGAATAGCCAGACCAACATAAACATGACGAGCAACGAATCGCGGACCCGCATCATCAGGAGCAGTAGCATCGTCATGCGAAGGAGCAGGAAGACCACGAGGACCAGCATGACAGTAGATTGCCAATAGCACCATGATAAGAATTAAATAAAGTTTTGTTTTGATACAGATCATTTTGTGGCTGTCAATTAGAGAAGAGGTAACCTTAGAGTTTTAAATATTTTTCTCGTTGTCTTCAATACTTGTGTTAGTAGTTCCCTTCAACAAACTGATATTGCTTTCAAATGTAAAAAAAAAAAAAATAAGCGGCTACTTTTATTCTTCCAAAAGTTATGAACATTTTTATTTTGTCCCTATAGTGTCTAATATATGATATGAAAAAACCCGTCAGTCAATCAAAATACAACTGAAAATAAGAAATTTGTTTTTTTTTGTGTTGTTTTATAACTGAACGTGAAGGGAGCATGTTTATTTTTACTACTCATTATTGTATAATTTTTAGTCTTGCATAGTAGATCATTTCTCCTAACTAAACAGAAACTAATGAATCTATTTGTTAGCTACGAACAATATATTGTCCAACCCCATTTGGTTTGTGCTCAATACGGAAGTTCTGTCAAATAACGGTTGTATGAGAATTGGATAAAAATAATTGATAGGCTCAATACTGTGTTCAATAAACTCTTAGTATTAAATACAAAATGAAATTATTTGAACAAAGAATGTTCTAAAGTTCCAAGAAAAAAAATGGATAGTCTTTCCTTTTCAAATTCGCTTCATTAATAGGATCTGATTGCTTGCTTTCAAATTGATAGTAGCATATCTTGTTGACAGAAACCCTTTCATAGATCAAAAAATAACTAGCTACAATGTGTTTTCTCGATTTGAATACTCACGTTCGATGTACAACTTCTGCAAGGACGATGTGTCGTCAAGTGCACGAAAAAAAAATTAAAAAAAATGATTGAATCATGTTTTATCCAGAGAGTATTATTGATCGGTCTTTTCTTCCTCCTCAATTTACGCTAAAAAATTGAGTTGTATGAGAATCATTTGATTTTTCTTCTATTACCATTTCAATGGAAGAGAGTGAAAATAATAAGTGCTTTCAGCAATAGTCAAGCTTCGTATTTTTAATATGCAGAACTGTTTGGAAGAGTCACTGTCAGTCTCAGACAACATATCATGTAAAACACATTTTTTTCAATAAATACGAAATAATCGATTATAATCATAAAACTTTAATCAAAGCTTTAAGCAGAAATAATTACAAAAATCATTTCTTAATTGATTAAAAATCAATCATTTCATCATTATTGAAGAAAATGTTTTTTTACACACGATAGTTTGATGGACAATTGGCTCAAGTATGCATTGCTAGTTAATGTGCCATTCGAATAGCAAAGATATTAGTGTAGTTTGTAATCAATCTTTGAAGTCATCATACATTGGTCATAGCATAGTAAGATGCCCATATTTCCAAATTCGGACATAATTTATTTTTCAGTTATTTTGGTTTGAATGTGGATCCTTTCTTGATCTATATCCACACTCTATGCATGAAAGTTATATTTTTTTTGCGTTAAAAGGAAGAAAAATAAAAGTGTCAACGAGACTTTTTCCTGGTGTTGTTTTTTTTTCAATACGCACTATAGTTATAAGAACATCATAAAGCTGTTGCAGAATCCATGCACAACGTGCCATTTAAACTGCCTATTGCAATAAATGTGAGCTAAGCGAATATCTTAACGAAAGAAGCTTTTTATTATCAAATAGTCCAAGTTGGTCTTGTTAATCTGTTTGATTGCATTAAGCGACAGTTCTAAATTAATTCTATAACAAACGGATTTCAATGAAAAACAAATCAGTAAATTAATGGCAGAAAAAATGTTCGCTTTGTTGAATGAATGCCAATCGATCAACAATGGAATTTCCATAGTGTTCGAAGACGGTTGATTATTTTCGTGATGATTTGTCAGACTTCATATAAAAAATCAAAATAAAAAAAACAAAGAGTTAATTTTTGTTCTTGGGAATACTTCAGGCATAAAAAATTGGGAAGTCAAATTTCAAAGTTTAAGTAATGAAACTATCAATCCCTCTGTAATACCAAAAATGATGACATTGACTCTCTGAAAACAACAAGAGTACAAGTTTACCAACGTATCGTAGAATTGATGCTTCGAAAATAATAAAATCGTCCTTTATATCAATATTTAGTTGTCGCTCTCTCTTGCAGCAACATTTTCAATAGTCGTAGAACATTAGAACAGTTCATACTACTACTGTAGTACCATGGTAATTCTTAGTCATCAATATCGTTTATACTATTCCTTGTTAAAAATGAAAATTTTTCTGTCAGCTTTGTATATACTTTTATTTACATGAGCACCTGAATCAAACATAGATTTCTCTTTCATCGTAGATAGTCGGATACTTGCACTTCAGTACGTTTTAGTTTGCACATCAAAGAACGGTAGTACACGGCATTTAACAAAATAATGTGCACTAGCGCACTCTACATTAGATTTTCGTTCCAATCACCTTTTAGTCTAATTTTTATATGTAAATAGTGACCAATAGGAACAAAGATAGAATGTTCGTTGTTTCTCAAGCATATTAATATATATGCCGAAGTAGTGATTACAACAGAAAAAGTATAGTTAAAAGCATTTCCATCTAGTAAAAACATGTTGATTATTTTCGTTATTTGTATTTTATTGATAAATCCAATTGAAACATACAGCTCATGTTTAAATGATGACGAATGTCCGTACTATTGCAGTAGCAATGGAAAATGTCAGCAGCCAATACCTAGAGGTCATAAATGCTCTGGTTATACTCATCATATTCGAGAATGTGATATTGCATCTTGGTGTGATCCAGACAAAAATTCAACTTGTCAACTTTTGAAAAATATTAAAGAAAAATGTGAATATGATTACTCTTGCATCGATAATTACTGTGATTCAGAAACCAATACTTGTCAGTATCGACAATTTATCGATGAACATTGTCAAACAAATCGGTCATGTCATTCAAGTTACTGTGAAATAGAGACAAAAACATGTCAACCAATAAAAACGTCGCCGTTTAGCATTCTAATGCTTATATGTCTCATACTCTATGTTTTTTCCAAAAAGGAAAAAACACAAATCGATGTTACTACACAAACAAATGATACACAACACAATCCTGAAGATTCAATTGAACAGAACTAAACGTCTTCAAAACTATTTGTATCAAATCAAAATACGTATTTTCAGATATAGACTACTCTACTAGTAGCATACATTTAAAAATTTTGAATTGATTTTTGTATTTTCTAGACACTTCTATATAAACATAGAGATTTTGGAAAATAAAATTTGAAAAGGCCAACATTTCTTTAGATATTTATGGATTAAAAGTCTTGTTTTATGCTAATAGTAGAAAAAAAGAACTTGAAAAATGCAAGCTAGTGCCGCCTTCTATTCATTAAGAGGATAAATGTGTAGTATGTAGATATTTATGTGTTTTTTCTCTTTAGCTATACTCCACAAAATGCAATATTCTCAATTAATATTCAAGATTATTCAACTCCTGAAATAATTTCGAGTCTTGCTGATTGAAAACAATTAACAATATAAGTAATATACAATTAAAAATGAATATGAATATAACGTAAACACAGTTAAACAATTTGGTGAAATAAAAAATAAAGCAAAGATAAATTGTATAAGATAAATTTCATTTTTATCATATGTTCTTTGATTATTTTTGTTTTTCAAAGAACTTCAACAATATTCAATTATTTCTTAAAAAGAAAAGAAAAATATTCAAATTTGTCAATAATAACGCAACTCCATTAATCAGAAAGGATGCGAGTGTAGAAAAGATACTCATTAAAGTCAAACACTGACATTCGCATCTAATATCTAAAAGTTGATTTTAATAAATGAAAAATTCATATGAATGATAAAAAAACAAAACGAAAAAAGTCTGTCAAAACTATATCTATACCTCATTTCATATTTCTGTGTAAACTTCTGTAGAAGCAAATAAAATCCTATATATCCGATTTATATATATTTCATTCCATTGATTGTCTAAACATCTATGTCAAGAAAAAAAAACGTATCGAATAGCATTTTGCATTTTTATGTGTGTCAAACAGATTGAAGATATTTCAATAGAAATAATATCATGTGTTAGATAATCAATTGATTTCATAGACAATCTTAGTTTATATACACTCTGTAGGGCAAGATAATGGAATATAGTCATATAGACAGTAGAGCCAGAAGGCTTGGGTAAGCTCAAATACTTTTCTTGTTTCATCAAAGTTTTAGATTTGAGCAGCACATTACGTTTTACTTTGACACAAATCAATATTATAGAAGGAATTTTCATTTTTCTCTAGCAGACAAGAATTTAAGACACTTTTCAAAAATGTACTGCCAAAATCAAAATGAAACGGACTACATTTTAGTATAAAAATTTTGAAAAATTATCAGTTATAATAATTTAACATTAAAAACTCATAAGCAAAGAAACACTTTTTAAAAGGAAGTTTTTTTTTTAATACTAATAAAAATCTAACAAATACTCTAATCATAGTCTTCGAAACTTTTTAAATATTCATTTTCTAGTTCAGACTTTGTTTTTATCAAATGTGATCTTGCCTTCTTCTGTACAATATGTTTCTCATTAGATATAGCATTTGAAAACAATAGGATGTGATGCAAGCGAAAAATAACTGAAAACCATCGTTGAAATTAATGATCGAAGATGTCAAGATTGTATCAAATAATGAACACACCACAGAAGAGTATACAAAATTTATGGTTCGAGCTCGCTTTTCTTAATTACTAATAGAATATGTATCAAACGTAAACTAGTGTCTAAAACAACACTTTTATAAAAAGTAATTATAAAACAAAATTATAGTGTTATTCCGTTTTCAATGCTCTTTCTATTAGAGAATATTGACGTGTCTTAAACGCGTTGCAGTCTAATTTATATCAGCAATGACCTGAAGTGAAGAAAATCTATATCAAACAAAATTTAGCTAAACTAAAATCTGCGAAAACATTTTCAATTCAATAAAAGAGACACTCAATGTGTTTCATTTAAGCGATATTCAAAGATTCATCTTATCTTATGTTTAACTTGATTAAAAAAAATATTACGCC